TATAAAAGTTCTCTCTAAAGCAGCCTAGAGCATGTTTGCCTAGGTTGATTGAATGCACCTGATAGTATCAAAACTCAAACTGACTTCCCTGGAGATCCCTCTCTGGCCAAGGTGCTGCCCTTTATGATTCTTCTTTCATACAACATGTTTTTAACATTGGATGACAGTGCTGTGGGGGTTTTTTTTTTTTCTATTAAACATTCTCTTTTTTTCCAATTATCTTGACTATGCATATGTCCACTTGAGCAAACATTTTATCACTTAATTTTGAGCCTGAATTGAGTACCATGTACTGGGCTGAGATCTAATGACCTGAAGAGAAAAGGCGCACACAGGTTGCTTCCTCCTGGAACATTATAGTGCTTTCACAATACCTCCCTTGAACCCAGGCAAGTGTCTCTGACTTTAGAAAGGTAATAGCTATTCCCTCTTCAAGCACAGCTGTCCACAGAGGAGTCCACAAAGTTGAGGAACCATGTTCCTCTTCTGGAATGTGCTCTGGTTACCTGAGACCCTGGAGTTCTTGCCCAGATAGAGATGAGCCTGCTCCCAGAACCTGGAGGATCTTCAGGTCTATAATCTCTGTCCTAGGCTTGAGGACTAGGAAAAGAAGCCACTGTTCAGGAAATGGTATGGACAGAACTTGGACGAGAGAATCAGTGTGGTCTGTGAACAACTCCATTGGCTAATGCAGAATTTAGACAAATCTAAAAGTTATAAATTCAAACCCATTCTCCTGCCTGCTCTGAAGGCATTCAAGTCTGTTAAATTCCTTTAGACCTGTTTCCTTGTTTTTCATCAAATCCAAAGCATGCACCTCCTCCCTACCCTGCTCTGAACTGCATCCTTAGCCCTTAGCTCCACCTCTAGGCTTTCTTCAGCTTCCCAGCCTAGCAGGTGGCTTCACCTCTTTGTCAGGCACACTTTTCTCACATCTCTTCAGCTGCTTTCTGTCTAGCCTCAACCTTTCAGCCTGAATCTGTTTCCTCTCACTTGGTCTTCAGCACAAACAGAGAAGCCTTCCTGACTAATTGGGGGGAAAAGTAGAAACTCTCCCACCACCACCACCATCCTCCATACCTGTCTTTCTGAATAGGTTTCCAACCCATCGGCTGTTTTTAAACCTGCCCCTTTCTTGTTCAGATAATAACGAAATTCACTCGGGTTTATCTTCTGTGTGTTCTTGATCTCTGTCAGGTCCTGTGATGTCTGAGTTAGATTGCGACATCCTAGAAGACCGGGCCACATCTAACGTGTGTCTCTAGCCTCTGTTCAGCAAAGCAGCAGGCCTAGTTGGCTCTTAATAAAGACTTTGGTGTTGGAAACAGAGGAACAGCACTCTGTGCCTAAAGCATTATATGTGTACAAGAAGCCATCCACCACTGTACTAGCCCTCCTGCTAGCCTGTGAGCTGAAGCACACTTTGACAAAGCAAAGAAGCTCTGTCTTGCATCAGAGAGAATAATAACCATAACAGAACACAGCCACAGCTGCTCTTGTAGTATTGACTGGCTTGGGGTTCAGAGTCACCCTACAAAGCAGGGACTACCATTATTGTACAAAGGAGGAATCTGAGGCACAGTTAGGCCATGTAATTAGTTCATCACTCCAGTTGGGGCCATCTGGCTTCAGGCAGCCTCAGCTTACCAACCACAGTCCACTGTTTTTCTAGAAGGGTTAGACAGCATTAGCCTCAAGAAGGGGACATGCAAAAGCCCCTGCCATAAACTCTCAGGGGGTCTTTGAACATGGTCTTTCATGAACAAATGGCTGAGAGGAGAATAGAATGGCTACTTAGGAACTTTCTAGAACAGAGCCAACACGTTCTCAAAGCATTTGTTCATACCCGATCCTTCTTTCTCCTCCCAGAACCCCTCTTCTGTCTCTTAAACATTCTAAGCCTGCTCACATTTGGATTTTTAAGTTTGTTGTTTCATGCAGCAAGAATGCTTTCCCCGGATCTGTCCCCTGCCGGGTCCTCCTCATCATTTAGGTACCACCTTGGACAGACCATTCTTAGGAAGGCTCTTCCTGTTTGTCCTACCAAATGTGGTTGTACTTATCTCATCCCTTCCTCTTCATTTGTGATTAACTCTTTTTCGTGTATGGTCGGTCTTGATCTTATTTGTTTTCACCATGGTTCTCCATCTGAAGTCACTTTGTTTATCTAGTAGTTCACTTCCCCCATTTCCATGTCCCCACTGGAAGGCCAGCTTCAAGACAGCAGAGATCTCATCTGCTTTTGTTCACTCACTGATGCTTAGTGCTGGAGCTACAGCACCTATGGCTTTTAGCCCTTTATCACATAAGTGCATGAGTGAATGGATGCCAAGTCCTTTGGGGAAACCTGCAAATGAACCTAACTGAATCTCCCTCTAACCCTTCACTATGTTACTGTGAGCACTTTACAAGAAGAGACCAAATCTTCATTTTTGTCGATCTTTTGGATCCTAGCGTAGTGGCAAATGAGAGCATGGTGTGAGGGAGGGCAAGTTTTTAGTTCCTTTGTTTGGACAGGGGGAAAAACCCAAGCCATTTAGACATGCAGATTGCAAATCATTCCTCTCCTAGACTAGGGAGAGACGGCTGCTCACTAGTGTGCACTCTCTCTGCCTCTCTTGCCTCTCTCTCTCTCTCTCTCTCTCTCTCTCTCTCTCTCTCTCTCTCTCTCAATAGGAACTGAGATACAGAAATTGCCATCTGACCACTTCTCCATCTCCCTCTTTCTTCCTCTCTCCCCACCTCTCCTCTTTTCTCTTTCTCTAGAGTGCTCCCAGCTTCCCTCCTTTGTTTCCCTTCCTCGTGGTAATTATGTAAAGGAAGGTGAGAAGAAAGTGTCCCACACGTCTAACACTCACATTTCTCCTATTACCACTACAACACATTCCCAGGAAAACCACTCGGCCTCTACAAATAATCCCTCCCAAACACGATATCATTTTCTTTTTCTTTCTTCAAGGAGACATGGTTACCCTGTGTAACCTTGGATGTCCTGGAACACACTCTGTAGACCAGGCCGGCCTTGAACTCAGAGATCCACCTGTTTATGCCTCCCAAATGCTGGGACTAAAGGCATGTGCCACCACCACCTGGCCCATCAAAATCACTTTTAGGAATGCTTGATTTGGTCCCATCTTGATGAAGACACAGCCCCTCCCACATAATAAGAGAACCCATTCCTCCAGTGATGTTAGCTTTTTTTTATTCAGAGATCCATTCATAACACATAGTGAAGATGATGAACAATAACAACAAAAGTTCCCAACCCTTGGTCAGACCTTGTGCCACAAGAGGGCATTTTAGAGTATCACTAAATGATTCTTCCCCCCCCCCCCCAATAAAATGCAGCTTTTCCATGATGGAAAAACATGGTAATAATATGTTAATCCCTTACAAGGTATTTTCACACTTCTGGGCTCTCCTACAAAGAAAGGATATGGAAAGCAAGTGCTATCTCGTGGAAATTGGAATAGAGGCCTAGAGGCATAGAGTTATTTGAAGAATATTTCACAGCAGGTGAAATATTATCTCAGCACACGTTCCAAGACTTGCTGTTTTCTAGAGACAAGAGAGCTCTTGCCAGAAGGCACACTTCCAACAGTCCCTGTGATATGCACACATGTGCCAGCCCATATGGGAGAAGGAAGAAATAGTTTAGGAAGTTAATAAGCAAAATCACTCTATGTTTTGGAAAAGCTGAGGTCCCTGAATGAATCAAATCCTGACCCAAGGTGAGGCTCATCTTCGCTATTAGCCACAGACCCACACACCTTCTATGGAAGTTTGTTATTAGCCATGGAGCAACATGCAGGAAGAAATACCCTGAGTGGGCAACCTGGACCTCCTCACCCACCAGCATTTCATTTGCTGCTCAGGTAATCATAGTCATAAGAAGGAGGAGCCCAGCCCTCAGACTCTCAGAGATACATATTCACTACTTCCTTTCATAATGCCTAGGCTGTAGCTCCATGCATCACCAGTCCCTAAGTGCTTTGCTCATTCAGAGACAAGAGAGGAAAAATGAATGAAAATGTTAACTAAGCCTGCATCTCACACAGTAAGCAAGAAGGGGACTTGTCAGGAGTACCAATGTGGCATCCTGCATTCAGGAACACCCAGAATCTCTCCCCTTAAGAGACTGCTGAAGAGGTCATTGCTGTAAACACAGAATCCCTATCAGATGTTCCCTCTCCTATACCACTGAGGAGACCTGATTTCCAGGTGAGCCTCTTCTTCCTGGGACTCTTTATTATGTGGTTTTGCAATTCAGGAATGTTGTGTATTAGCACATCTATCCAGTGTTGGGAACACTAGACAACTGGTATTGTCTGTGGAAATCCAAATAGATAAGGGAGAACCAGCCTGACTTGGAAAAAAAAAAAATCTGTCCCATGCCATGGACATGGGAAGGAGAATAGACCTGGCAAGATTCTTTGCCAATGTCCCTTAAACTCACCCTGGCTTAGAGTATTTGCTTCCAACCAAGAGGTGTCTTGGCAAATTGAGGTAGCCTCAAAGGAAAAAGAAACAAACAAATAGGATTTTTATACTTAACTTTATGAGAATAGGAAGGGAGAACATAATCTTAGCGCAATTTCAAGAAAGGAGGAAATTTGAATGTAGAGCTGAATATGGGCTGGAGGTGGTTTTACTAGGAAGAAATCAGCTAAAAAGTGTTTTTATCAACAAACATGAAGGTCCCTCAGAGTCTCTCCTCTTCACTGGTTCTGAGTGCTTAGGGAAGTTTGGGGATGGGGTTGAAGAAACTTGCATTGGGGAAGGTGGAAAATCCAAGTGCAGCTAAGCTAGTTACCAAACAGGTTCCCTCGGGCACTTATTGGTCAAGCTTTACCACAAGAAACATCACTGAGAAACTCCAAACACTTACTGTCCCTGACACTAGAAACAGCATAATAGTTCCCTGGGGCAAACAATTAAGCGGCAATGTGCATGGCCTGGAGATACCACACACCAAAGCAGGGGATACAGAAAGGACTCACCTGTTCTGGACCCTGGAAACAGATGCGGCAGAGGGGAGTCCTCATACCACTGTCCAAGCTACTTCCCAGAGAGTAGCGGTCCTCAGCTTGCTCCTTACAGAATTCATCAGAGGAAGTACTGCTGAGCAGGGAGGCAGGTGGCCCTGTGGCTGGGCCATCCCAGTCATCTTCCACAGAAGGAGGCAAAGGTGGCGGAGGTGGCAGAGGAGGGGTCTCCCTTCCCACCGCTTCTCGAGGACCCCTCCAGCCTGCCCACCCTCCGGCACCCAGAGCCGGAAGGGTGTTGTTGTTGGCCGCCACACCAGGGAGCTGGGGGTCACCGTGCATGGGCAGGGGCACTGGAGGGGGGCGCCTCAGTAGGAAAACCTTCAGGTCATTGAAGAGCATTCGGCAGCGGCACTTGAGGAGACCCTGGTGGCGCAACATCTGGGGAACTGGGGTGCACGATCCACAGCAGTACCAGCCACAGCAGCAGCACCACCAGCACAGCAGCCCACCCAGGGGCATGAGCATGTGATGGGGAAGCAGAGGACTGGAGAGGGGCAGCTGGAGTCTTTGAAGAGGTGGCTAGGGTGGGGCTTGGGGTCCACAGTGTTTCTGTGTTATGAAAGGACCTCCTTTCTTATTGGCTCTTCTTATAACCCCTCCAAGCAGCAAATAGATTACCCCCTAGACTGACAACTGTGAGTCAACGATTCTGAACGCTCCTAAGAAAATGCAAAGTGAAAAAAAGTTTTTCTTGACCTGGCAGTTCTACCCCAGCCTCAGACTTAGTTCTGGCTGTTGTCTCCTTTCTGTCTTTGACCCCAGATTACTACTAGGAGCAGGACAATGGAAGAAGCATCAAGGGTGGGATGTATGACCAATGTCTACTTGTTAAAAATTCCCAAAAAAAGGCTTGCTAGATTCTTCTCAAATCTCTAGGCTGTGGTAAATCGCCTTTATATAAAAGGGTGGAGAAGATAATAAATGAAATTTGGAGCAGCTAGATCTGGGCTTGGGGAAACCAGCTCAGTGAAGAATAGAAGATTGCACATGAGAGAGAAAAGATAGGCTTCCTCGGGTAGTAAGAAGTGGCTGGGGGAAGACACGAAGGTGGGTGGTGGCGGTGAGAAGGTTAGAAGTTCTAATTCTCTTGGGCAGAAAACTGGGGCAGTTAACCCCCAGTAGCACCAGAGTTGCTTTTAAGAGAGGAATCAGGGGACTGGTTGCAGGTGAAATTGGGCAAAGAGCTTGTGCTTTGCCTATGCAGCCAAAAAGCTACACGGAAGAGGTGGGATATAGGGCGGTGACCCGAAAAGGATGGAGGAAAAAAGATCCTTAACCCTCGAAGGGTTGCTTCCTTCCAGAACCTAAGGTCCTGAATAGAGGAAGGGTCTCTTTGGGAAAGGGGAGGAGAAAGGAGGTAGAAAAGAGGGAGGGGACCGAAGGAAGGAATAGTTACATGATCTCAGCCCCCAGCCCACTCCAGCTGCAGTCTGTAAATCGGAGGCCCCTCCCCTTGATTCCGAGGTTCCAGAGCTGGAAGATAGGCAGGTCCGGGCTGGAAAGTAGCCTCGCTTTCTCCTCCTCGTCCTCTTCTGGGTCGCTGTCGTCTTCCTCCTCCTGCTCTGGGTCTGCACGAGACCGGCGCTGCTGCTGTGGCGGCAGAAGCGAGTGCTGGTCGGTGTCCTGATATCTCACGGGCGGGGGCTGCTCCGGCTGGTCCTCTGGCTGCTGCCCGCGGTCCAGCGCGGTCGCGACTCCAGGCTTCATGATCCTCCTCCTCTTCCTTCTCGGGGGGCTGGCCCTGAGCCCCCACTCCCGGGCAGAGCTGCCATGCAACCAGAGACAAGGCAAGCGTGGGGGTAGGGGCGGTGGGGAAGTGATGGGAAGAATAAAAAATAATACTAATGGAACAATTCAGTTCTCAGATAATCAGAAAAGAGTGCTTCTGGCGGGTGGGGGCGGAGGAGGGCGGCTGCCAGGTCCTGTCGGCAGCTCTGCCCCCGCTCCCCCAACCTAGGGCGGCCTCGGCCCGCTCTCTGCTCCCACCCCCACGCCGCCCCTCCCTCCTCCGGCTGCCTCTGGCTGGCTGGCCTCGCTGCTGTTGCTACCTCTCCTCGCAGATGCACGGAGGTAAGGCTTGTTTGCGGTGTAAGCAGAAGATGGGGAGGGGAAATAGAGACGGTGTGGCCGAGATGGTCAGGCAGACAGCGCTTGGCTCCAGCTTGGTCCTGGAGACTCCCCAGAACTGTATATAAATATATCTCTTAGAAAAGCCGAAAAGGAAGCAAATCAGATTCCAGCCTGCTGCCAGGTGTTGTCTTCCGCCGTTGCTCAGCACCCGCCGCCACGACTGCTGCCCCCCTGGCTCAGTTCCCAAAGGGGTGGTGCTGGAAGGGAGGTGCCAGGGCAGTAGGCTGCCGGTCTGAGGACTGAAGCAAGCTTCTTGGAGCGGAGAAGGCACCAGGCTACTTCCACCCGCGCGGCCAGTGAAGCCGCTGCTGCGTTCAGCACCTGGGTGAGTGGACAGCTCCCACCCAGACCCCGCGCGTCACGCTAGTGGGAGCCTGACGCAGACGCCGAGGGATGGAGGAGGGAAAGGAGATGCGGGCGAAAAAGACTAGGAGAGAGCGAGCCAGAGAAGAGAGAACTGTTTGAAGGAAGAGGATAGGGAGGAACCAGGGGGAAAGGGAGGTAACGAAGAGAAGGAGGGATTTAGGAGAGGAGGGAGGAGGCAGCGAAGAGTAAAAGAGGCAGAATGGGAACTTGGATTGTGGAGTGATGCGTATACTCACTCCCACATCTTCCCCCCAGCTGGAAAGGATCCGGGTGGATGGACGATACTATTCGTAGGCTCCCTGCTCACTGTGTCCTCTCACCACTTCCTTCAGCACATAGACACCCGATATAGTTGCCTCATAACCAGATTCCATGGTGCTCTTCGTTACAAACACTTAAAGTGGTGTCACTTTGTAAGCTTTGGGAAAGATAAAGTTTTGTGACTCCCATGTCGAAACTGGGACCTGCTGGAGATTAAATCTCTCGTGACTAAGACCTTATGAGAAAAGAGCTTTAAACCAAGCAATTTCAATAAAGTCTCTGTCTCTCTCTGTCTCTGCCTCTGTCTCTCTCTCTCTCATCTCCCTCCCCTCCCTTTCTTTGTTGTGTTTCAGGCTCATTTTGCTCCCATATGCCTAAGTCGATGGCTTGAGGTGAGGTACATATTTGTTAATGACTTATAGCCGCCATTATCACAGTCGTGTTCACTTAAAGCCATCGTGTTCTTTCATCTGTGTTGAGTCCTAAGAATCCAGGTCAATCATACAGCTTCATGCTAACCTATGTCCCTAATTTCTCCCCATCCAGGTCTTCCACTGGGCCACCAGCAAGGAGAAGTTTGAAACTGATTTTAATTTCCTCTACCTCTTCTGACTTGTATTACTCTATCCATCCTTCTAATGAGCACAAGAGTATCCCTAAATGCAAGAGTCCAAAAGAGAAGGCAACTGAAAGCAGGCTGCATAAATACTCAGTGTTTACAACTGCAGACTTTGGACATTTATAATTTAGAATTTCTCCCCCCCCCCACCCCCACCATTCCTCCAGGGTCACAGACTTATAGAACACACTCCAGTGAGTCATCTACACAGCTGAGCTAATTATGCTAATGCATTTGGAAAGTCTGAAGCTATAGACAAAGTAGAATGTATAATCACCACACCAAAATATCACTGGCATGAAGCTCAGCTCGATGAATCATAAGAAAACTGCCCTTTTGTTGGTGTCTCCATGAATGATTCATTCTCTTGAGCCCTAGGGAGCAAAGGCCAACCAAGCATGGCTGCTTGACTAAATCATGTCCTGGCAGCTGGCATGCATGCCAAGATCCTGCTCAAAGTCAGTATTTGAAATGATGCCAGGCAAGATGGCTCAGCAGGTGAATGAAAGCACTCACCACCAAGCCCAACCTACCTGAGTCTGATCCCTGGGATCCCTAGTAGAAGGAAAGAACCGACTTCCCCCTCCAGGCCAGACCTACAGAGAGACCTAACTCCCCCACGTTTTTTTCTGACTTCCATGTGTGTACCATGGCACACACATGCTCCCCACATACAACAAATAAACAAGTGTAATTTTTAAAGTGCTGTGCTGTTTTTAATAACTATGAAATAATGCTTAGATTATTGATACTTGCATGAATACTGCTGCAAAATGGAATATTTCAAAGCATCTATCCTCTACACTACTCTGCATCTGCCTCTGGCACAGTGCAGGTCGCCCTCTATAAAACTGATCTCATCACGTTTGCCTCCCTTCATATGGCTTAGAGCTCCTTGTATGGACCAGTGTTTGTATTTTCAGCAGCAGCAGCAGCACACAATGCCACACCTCAAGTCCAGCCAGCGATCAGGCAAAGGATCGATGGCCTTTTTTCAGTGAAGCTAAATGTTTGTCCCCATCTGTGTAAACATGACTGAGTACCTGTCACATCCAAAACTGAGTTTTAAGGTTTTATACCCATAAAATGCTAATTCCAGTTCTGTTGTGTAGTAAACTGGGGGGACAGGAGATAGAAAAGCCGTATCTCAAACAGACTTGGAGCCTGTATTCAGGGCTGTAGAAATGGGTGGTGACCAAAAGAAGATGGTTTTGCTCCACTCTGTCATTGCACATGAAAGAGACCTGTAAATAGAACTACTTATGATGGGGTGGGGGATGACAGCACACAATTGGACTGTGTATGGAAAGACAGAGCCTTGTGAATTCTGAAAAACATCTTACTGAATTAGACTCTCTCTATGTTAGTGTTGAATCATGAGCCTCAAGAGGAAAAACAGCCATAAAGAAAATGTTAAATCAATGGGTCTCCATTTAAAACATTCAGAAAACATTTACTGAACACCAATCATAGGTAAGGAATGATGTTGGAAGATACCGGCATGCAAAAATGAGTTGGTTAGAACTGCATCCTCAAGAGTCTCATACTAGAAATACACGAATACTCATAATATAAGGCATGCAATAAGTGCCATCCAAGTATAAAAAGTTTCAGTATTCAGAATAGGGAGGTAATACCTACAGCTTAGCAGCAATTAGGAGAGGTGGGAAGAGATTGGGGGAGGTGGAGATCGGTGCCAGAGTTCTGGAAAAACCTTTTTCAAGAAATGACATCCTAGCTGAGTTAAAAGATGTGGAATTCAGAAGAAGAAAGCAGTTTTTGGCTGCAGGAACACAATATACCAGCCCTCCCTTTTGGATGGGCTGGAAGGTGCTTGAAGGCAAGTAGCTAAAAGTAAAGTCAGTAAGGTGAATAGAGCCAGATTACAGAAGGTTCTAAATGCCTCTCAGTGAGAAGATTTATTCATTGACCAGGTACTTGTTTTAATGGCTTTAAAGATTTGGAACTGAAGGTGAAGGGCAAAAATAAACTTTATCGCTGAGCGGGTTAATTAACTGGATGGGATTTCATTGCTAACAGGTAGGAAGCAATCAATATTTTTCATTTCACGCCAGAAAGTTCTCAGCTCCTTAATGGATTTATTCTTTTAAACAAGGTTGTTTTCAGATATATTTCATTGCATACAAAGATGCTGGAGTCATATGAATTTTAAGAAGAGTGAAGGAATGAGAGGTCCAAGGAATAGTCTAGGAAGAAATATTGGGACACCCAGAGATCCAAATTGACTAAATCTAGAGGCCGTTATACTTAATTCTCTGAACAGGGAAGCTCCAAGGCCTCCTGGCTGGCTGTTATTTCTTATTTGTCTGGACAGAATGTACCAAAGACAGAGGATATTTTACAGGAATTAGAGAGTGCTGAGCTCTAGATCACACAGCAAAT